AGGTTGAGAACACTGGACTAGATGAAGACTCTAAAATAAGTTAGAATGTGTAAGAATTGTATTAGAGGAAGTATCTGTGAAAATAAGGGAGCGGTCTGGAGAGGCCCAGAGAGGGAGGGGAGAGGGACAGAAGCAGAGAGAGAATAGACACAGGCATGACAAATGGATCCAGATGACAGTGATTTATAAGGAGTAAACAAAACAGATGAAAGCTATGTGAACTCTCAGGGGACTTCAGCAAGGCCCAACCCCCAGTTACCCCATCAAAGAAGTCTCACCTGCCTCAGAAACAAGGTTGAACTTTCTTAGATGAGATGATACTATTGCTCTCTAGACTTTACTTTAAATAAAAGAGACATGGAAGGACTGGAGAGCTAGCTCAACAATTAATAGCATTTGCTCCCTTCCTTATGTTTTGGAATGTGCTATTGTATGCTGAAAATACATGATGTGGTTTTTGATTTTCAGTGGGTTGTAGTTAACAGATTGCCGTGAGTCTTTGAAGAGACTTTGGACTTTAAACAGTGTTGAGGCTGTAATAGACAACGAGAACTTTTGGAGTTAGATTGGATGCATTTTCACATTATGGTATGACTATAAGCCCGTGGGGGTTAGTGGAATGTGGCAGTTTGATTAAGAATAGCCTCTTACAGTCCCATATATTTGAATGCTAGTCATCAGGGTGTAACACTACTTGAGAAGGATTAGGAGGTGTGGCCTTGTTGGAGGACATGTGTCTGGGCCACTGGGCTTTGATGTAAAAGCCCAAGCCAGGTCTAGTTGTTCTCTCCTTCTGCCACCTGCAGATCAGGATGTAGAACTCTCAGCTACTTCTCCAGCACCAAGTCTGCCTGTGAACTGCCAAGCGAGCTGCCATGATGATGATAGACTAAACCTCAGAAACTTTTTGATGCCAAGAAGTCTTTGTCCTTCTGTGATCTCAGCTCTTCTTCTTCTTTTTAAGGCGGTTTATGATTTTTCTTACGTAAAAAGCTTCAAGCTATTCCCTCTATCACTGCTAGACTCCAAAGTTCTTCCTGCAGAGACATTCAGCTGTAGACAGTCATTGTCGTTGTCTGACTAGGTAGGTGGTAGTCCTGAGGGTGTTGGCCATGTGCATTCTGGGACTTCTGTATTGTCATCTTAACCACATGGCTATCAATTTATCTTTAAACAGATCACCTTTCCTTTAGTCTAGTCATATCTTGGTTCAACTTCCTTTAAGTGCCTATTGTGTAAAATAATAGAATTTGTTTTTCTGAAAGCACAGGGTTCTTCTGATAGATTAAATAAGCAGATGAAGTGGTTGTAGCTGAAGCTATGGTAGATAAACAAGAGGGGTGGCTAGGAATATACCTTGTGAATTAAGGTGTTCAAACATGGTCATGTAAGGCAGACATAGCAAAGGATCTCCAGGTGAGAAAGTCATGATCATGACAACATTTTGGATGATTACTCTGGCAGAAGTGAACAGGATTACTTAAAGGAGGTCCAGATGGCAGCAGATGCTAGGAAGGTAGATTATGAGTCAGCCAGCATGAGTCATGCTAGTGACTAAGAGTCATCAGAACTTGTCATCTGGTTATAGAGGTGAGAAAAAAAAAACATAGGAATGTGGTATCCCTCAACTTTCAAGTTTAAACATTGCTTAAGGTTTTGAGGGTGGCCAAGTATTGAATTGAAGAGGTAAGAAGACTAAGATTGGGAGTCAGCTTCTCAGTGTGGCTTTCTATGGGAGAGGATCTAATCATTTGAGTGAGCGGGTGCAGAATCAGCGGGCACAAGCCTACAGTTCCTTGCTGTGTCCAGCATTGGTTAGAGAGCCTCCCAAGCATCCGCTTAGGCTTGTGCTCAAGGTTCACAGTAGCTGATTATTTGCAGACTCCCCAGTACAGTCTTCAGAAGGGGGTTGTCTGCTACATTTACTACTTTGGTAACTCCCTTCCTTCTCAAAGTGCTGTCTGTGGATTCCGGTTTAGTAGCTTTTGAAGTTCTTTGTGTTGGTCACATGCTTAATCAGGTCTGAAAAATGGGGAAGGTTTTGTTTGAACGTTTTGTATTTTCCTGTTCCCTTTGGCACAAAGGGTCATTTTTGTTTACAATCTGAGTTCAAGAAAAGACCTAAAGATTATACCTGTCAGGAAGTGGAAACTAATAGGGAGTCTGGTATAACATGCAGATGAACTGGGTTGCTTGGATGATACGCTGACATTTTATATATATATATATATATATATATATAATTTTTTTAAAAATTATTTATTATGTATAGAATATGTACACCTTCATGCCAGAAGAGGGCACCAGATCTCATTGCAGATGGTTATGAGCCATTATGTGGTTGCTGGGAATTGAACTCAGGACCTCTGGAAGAGTAGCCAGTGCACAGCGCATTTAACCTCTGAACCACCTCTCTAGCCCAACATGCTATATTTTATTTAGAAGGTCAAGACTAATTATTTTTTGCATGTATGTGGCACATACACACTGAAGATCTAGCTCAACTGCTTTTTACATACAAGGCAAATGCTCTACCATTAAACTAACACCCCAGTTCTCTATGTGTTGGTTTTCAAGTACTTAAGGAAGTAGGGTCCCTATCAGGATTTCAGTGAGGCCCATCACTATTTGAACTAAAACATTCTAATTTGTATTCACACAACAGTTTGCTGAATAAATGATTTTATGGCTTTGTAAAGGGATTTAAGTTTGAAAAACACTACCTTATGCAATGGCTGTTATAAGACATAGTTATGAAGAGCTCCAGGAGAGTTCGGTGTAATGTGGAAACTGTTTGATAGCTAACCCCACAAGTCTTATGCTGATAACAAAACAGGAACTATCTCTGGTCCATTTTTAGAGTTGTCTCAATTTTGTTTCACTATATATAGCTTTGTCTAGCCTAGAACTCACGATGTAGACCAGGCTAGCCTTAAACTCAGATTCCCATCTCTGCCTCCTGAGTGCTGGGAGTAAGGGCCCTAGTACCTACCCTTCAGTTTCTTTCTTTTTTTTATTTTATTTTATTTTATTTATTTATTTAAGATTTCTGCCTCCTCCCCGCCACGGCCTCCCATTTCCCTCCCCCTCCCCCAAACCCTTCAGTTTCTTAAAAGAAGTGCTTGGCATTTGGTTTTACATTCTAATGTGAAGTACAGTAAGAGCTTTATAAACACTGTTTCCCATAGCAACTCTAGGTACTCTAGCAGTGCAAGCCCAAGGAAAGTTTAAAGGGGGCTCAAAAACTACCGTAACTACTGACGAGGGGAGAGAGAAAGGGCACAGGGTTTTGGATACTAGTATGAGAAATGAGGCAGCAGGAGACGAAACATTTTGTGAACAGAAGAAACGTCTGGACTGAATGTCAGTGAAAAACAAATTACCCATGCTCTAAAATGCAAATTGAGATAGAAATGACACCAAGCAAGCCATCCTTTGCACAATGAATCAGTGATCTAGTTCTACACTAATTGGGTGTCTCACATGAAAATCGTTCTCAGACATAATGTTGTATCACAACAGTGAAAAAATAAAGCTCCTCACATTTTCCAAAATATATACCCTCTCCAGTTCTAATTCTTTTTGTAAATGTTTGCCAAAACTGACGTACTTTTGAACATTTTTTTATCTTGCACTTTTTTTTTTTTCGGTTTTTCGAGACAGGGTTTCTCTGTGGTTTTGGAGCCTGTTCTGGAACTAGCTCTTGTAGACCAGGCTGGTCTCGAACTCACAGAGATCCGCCTGCCTCTGCCTCCCAAGTGCTGGGATTAAAGGCGTGCGCCACCACCGCCCGGCTCTTGCACTTTTTTTAATTAATTAATTTATTTATTAAAGATTTCTGCCTCTTCCTCGCCACCGCCTCCCATTTCCCTCCCCCTCCCCCAATCAAGTCCCCCTCCCTCATCAGCCCAAAGAGCAGTCCGAGTTCCTTGCCCTGTGGGAAGTCCAAGGACCTCCCACCTCCATCCAGGTCTAGTAAGGTGAGCATCCAAACTGCCTAGGCTCTTTCAGACCCAGGCCAGCTGGCCTTGGTGAGTTCCCGATAGAACATCCCCATTGTCTCAGTGTGTGGGTGCACCCCTCGCAGTCCTGAGTTCCTTGCTCGTGCGCTCTCTCCTTCTGCTCCCGATTTGGACCTTGAGATTTCTGTCCGGTGCTCCAATGTGGGTCTCTGTCTCCTTTCATTGCCTGATGAAGGTTAATATTCAGGAGGATGCCTATATGTTTGTCTTTGGCATGGGATAAAACCGGACTTGCTGAACATAGCGGACAATGATGACTACTGAGAACTCAAGAACAATGGCAATGGGTTTTTGATCGTACTGCACATACTGGCTTTGGGGGAGCCTAGGCAGTTTGGATGCTCACCTTACTAGACCTGGATGGAGGTGGGTGGTCCTTGGACTTCCCACAGGTCAGGGAATCCTGATTGCTCTTCGAGCTGATGAGGGAGGGGCACTTGATGGGGGAGGGAGAGGGAAATGGGAGGCGGTGGCGGGGAGGAGGTGTCTCTGTCTCCTTTCACAGCCCATAATTCGTGATCCTAGAGAAGCTAATTAAGAGGGTGAACCCAAAGAAAAACATATCGTCAACCTCTTGGATATTAACCTTCATCAGGCAATGTAGGAGACAGAACATTTTTTTAAAAAACAGAACCGAACGAAAACTCTGTCCCCAAACTCTCCCACAGGCTCCGATGGTGCTGAGGCTTCTGTGGGCGGTACACAAGACCCCAAGCTAGCGACACTTGTGGCTCTCTGGGAGAAAGAGCCCAGGAGAAGCCTGGCAGAGAGTTCAGGGAAGTAAACTCGGATCCCCAAACTCTCCCGCGAGTTCCGATGGTACTGAGGACTGTGTGGGCGGTACACAAGACCCCGAGCTGCTTGTGCAAGCAAGCATTACGCAAAAAGAATGCGCATGCCCGAGACCTCGGGGCCCTGTTCACGCCTGGCTGGCAACCGGAAGCATATGTTTGAGTAGGCGGTGCTGGACTTTCAGTTCCGGTGCACCATAGGTCTGTTCGGAGGCCGCTTCCTGCGTGTTTTTCTCCGACCTGAGCAGTGCTAGTGTGATTGTTCCTAGGGACCCCATGGCCGAGGGGGACGTAGGGATCGACCAGAGGCAGGTGAGGCCCCCCCTGGCAGGGAACCGCAGTCCAGGTACAGCAGGTCATGGCTTTATGGGGCTGTGCGTCCTTTCTACCGCAGCCTGTGAGCCCGGGACTCGTCAACCATTAGCACGTGACTTAGCTATTCTGCCTCCCATTTTCCAACATTAGGCCTATTTATTACGCCGTTGATTTTGAGACAGTGTCACTCTGTATAGCTGTGGCTGGCCTAGAGCTCACCATGTCAACCGTGATGGCCTGGTACTCAAAGAGATCTACCCGCCTCTGCTTCCAGAGTGCTGGGATTAAAGGTGTGCGCCACCACACATGACGGCCATTACGTTTTAACCCCGAAATTCTTTAGCGCTTTGAGGTAGTTAGCAAAAAGAAACAAACAAAAAAAATAATAATAATAACCTTACTGAGTCCTGTTCCCAAATTAAAAACGACAATAACTCTAACAAGCTGGTTGCAGTCATAGCAATAGTATCAAGAAACCAGACAGCAGAGCAAGCTTAGAACAGTTGGCCTCATAAGACTCCTTTTATGTTAATTGTTAATGCCGTAAAAGGTAGTGAGAATAGGTTTATCTGTGTATGTTCATTTGTTGTCTTTTTAAAATCAACTTTCAGAATGAGGAAATTGAAGCAATGGCAGCCATTTATGGCGAGGAGTGGTGTGTCATTGACGATTCTGCCAAAATATTTTGTATTAGAATCAGCGATAACATAGATGATCCCAAATGGACAGTTTGCTTGCAGGTATTTTTTCTTCTTTATAGCTGTTTTCCAGTCAACAGTATTTAATATATAGCTGATGCCATGTGTCTCTTTATGATTATTGCAGCATGGATTTCTTTCTGGATTGCCTTTGCTGATTATTGTCATGATTATAGAAACATAGATATTTAAGTCTCAGGTTACGCTCAGGTCATGCTTTTTTTTGTTTGCAATCTTGTCTTTATTTTTCTAATTATTAAATCTGTTAATCTATTTTCAGACTTGAGTTATACTTCCTTTTGTTACTCTAATCAATAACAGAAGGTTTAGATCAGGAAAGGTGGCTAATTTTTAAGAGAAAGACTAGGTTATGAAGAAAATTCATAGAACTATATTTGTCTTGTTATTGAAATTTATTTGTACTTAGACTAAAAGATTAATTGTGACTTTGTATCTTAGCGCGTATTCTACAACTGTGATAATTTTATGTAAAGAATGCCGAATTGTGGATTTTTCAGTATTTGTTTCCACAATATTGATTTTAAAAGACATGTGTTTTTCACAGACTATCTTTAATGGTATTTTATAGGGTTCTTTATTTTTACTTGGATAATGAAAAATAGCATCAACATTCATTGGAGTCAGGGTATATAGTGCCCCTGTATCTGTTTCTTAGTCATTTCTGTTCTTCTTAAGTTTTCTTTTGTTTTTAATTTTAAAAATGATTCCTATTTATTTATTTATATGCATTGGTGTTTTGCCCACATGTCTGTCTGTGTGAGGGTGTCAGATACCCTGGAACTAGAGTTACAGACAGTTTTGAGCTGTCATGTGTGTACTGGCAATTGAACCAGGGTCCTCTGGAAGAGTGGCTGGTGCTCTTAACCACTGAGTCATCTCTCCAGCCCCCTTAACCTTATTCTTAACTTTCATTCTCTTATAGTTTCTCTGCCAAGAATTAGCTTCCAAAAACATAAAGAGCCTCTCTAACAACATAGTTTTGTAGAACCATGAATAGTAAATAAACCAATTGTTTGTCTTCTGTCTAGACAAATTAGAAACTTGTTCATTGGCTGACATTATAAATGTAGTTGCTTTTCAGCTGTAATCAGTGTAAGCAAATTTGTTCTAAAACTTGCTTGTAGGTGAATTTACCGAGTGAGTACCCAGGTACAGCACCGCCCGTTTATCAGCTGAAGTAAGCTACATTTTTACCTTTATACTTTTATAGAAATATTTTACTGTTAAAGATAGTTTCTACACAGTCATTGTGTGTATACAAAATGATTTGTTTAAAATGAATATAGACAGTAGAAACATCTAGGTTAGTTTAGAGCATTTTACAGAATGATGTAAAACACATTGATGTATGGTACTTAGTAAAAAAGAAAGTCTGAGTTCACAGTGGTCAGGAAGCTGCAGAACTGTGTTTAGAGATGGGGAGGAAAGCCTTCCTTGTTGTTCAGTTTCCTAACCCAACTCTTGGATTAACTTCACACTGCCAGCCTTCTTGAAATGATCCAGGGTGCTCCAGGTGGTCACCCCTGCTTTCTCCCTCTGCTGTTGTTGAAGAACCACATTTTAGTCGTCCAAGTTTCATCGGCAGGGTCCTGATCTGTTGATGCTGTGACTTGTAACCTATGTCACCTTTAATGCTATAGTTTAGAAAAGTCATGGGAACAGAGTTGCATAAATTGGCTATGAAAAGTTGTATCTACAAGTGTTATTTTTGTGTGTATTTCAAAACTATGCTAATAAAACTAATAAAAATAGTTCTGTATTTTTTTTTATCTAATTGCAAATGATAGAGAATGCTCTTAAATATCTTTTCAGAAAGACAGCTTGCTTACTTGTTGGACTCATTTTTAAGAGTTACCTATTAGTTAGTCTAGCTTTTGGAGCTAAAAAAAAAAGGTAACTCCTGGCACTGTGGCAGACATTCCAAATCTGGAATGTTAAATTCTTGAGCAGATTCTGCCACTGATACAAATTTGGGCAGGTTTGTGGTACCCTAGGAACTCAACTTCTGGGTTTTTTTTTTTTACTCATTAAAATTCAGTAATTTTAGTGTGGATTTTGCTGTGGTTTCTTGAGCAGACTAAATGAATTAAGGTCAATGAAAATGTTTTAATTTTGTATAGATCTAAAAAAAATTAATGAATATTTCAAATATTCATCTAATTCTTGGATAATTTTTAATCTGTGTTTTATTCAATCTTAGTGCTCCTTGGCTGAAAGGGCAAGAACGTGCAGACTTGTCAAACAGCCTTGAGGAAATATATATGTAAGTAAGCGGCAGGTGGCTTTTCACCAACATTCTGCTACTCATGGCTGCTCTGGGCTTTACAGGTGGCTTTTCACAAACGTTCTGCTACTGATTGCTGCTCTGGGCTTTCTTGACAGATCTGCTCATACTTTTCTTGAATTTGTTTGGCTCTTTTATTAACAAAAACATTCACATGAAGCAAACTAAAAGGTTAATTACATAACTTCACATGTGCATTTGATAGAAAAATATGGTAATATTTAAAGTTGGAAGATGTAACAATACTTATTTGGCTTCTGAAGACAAGTTCAGAGATGCGATTCACATACCATAATTATTCACCCTTGTGAGTAAAGGAGTAACCTTTACCTAGAGTGAAACCATCCTGCATTGCCAGCCTTTTATTGAGCTGCTGGGTAGATGACAGCGTGGGCTTCCTTCCCCTTCACTCTGCTGTGCTGTCAGGCACCACCATGGCCTTTGGAGAGAAAGAACTCCATTTCCATTTACCCTGGTATTTCTTCTAAATCACTTTCTATTTTCACCCCCGGTAAAATTGTTTTCACTGTTGGGGTAAAGAATTATGAGGTAGTAGATTTGATCCCCAGTAACACACACACACGGATGAATGTGTACCTGCATAATATTAGCAGCCTGTTGGGTTATGTTTAGGCTGTTTTGGTCAAGCTTCTGGAATTAGCTTTTTAATAGCATGCTTCCTTGTGTTTATTTTTATACTGATAGAATGAGGATGGTATCATGTAAGGATTAAGTGATATCCATGTAATATGCTTTATTTTGCACACAGTATTAGTTTGTTAGCTGTGCACCACTTAAGTGAAACTCTTGTGCTAATTTACAGAGAATAGGTTAATTTCATGTCACAGTTTTGGAGATTCCTATCTGTTGTTGATCAGTCCTGTTGCTTTGGACCTCTCAAGAAGCAAGTGTGTGGGAAAGCAGAATTTCCTACTATGAGCTAGAGAGCATAAACAAAGAGGAAGATGCAGGGGCTTAGTAGACAAGGCTTTCAGCTTTGTTCAATTTAATCAGCTTCTGATTCTATAAAGGCTTTCATTACGGCAATGAATGGCAAAAGTTTGAAGACCCGTTTTTTTTTTTTTTTTTTTTTTTTTTTTTTTTTAAATAAGTCACAGTAACTCCTAGTGGATAGTTAAAAGATAGAAGTAGGTTCTTGTTGCAGGAGGAGACAAATATAGTGTAATTCTTCTAATACAAATATTTCTGTATTTTATTGGTAGACTTTTGGAGGTCTGTGGTAGAAATGATTTCTGCTTGGCCCAGATAGCCTCATACCCAGTGTGCCTCTGCACTGGCTTCTCAGGCAGCAGTCTTACTGAATGCCAGTGCATGGACGCAGCAGCTGTGCAGTTCTGCAGACGTGCTCTCGCTGTGCCTTCCTGGGGAGCCCTGTGAGGAGGAGATACCTGAAGTGAACATTGAGTTGTTGTGGGAAATTACTAATTGTAGAAATTCTTCCAAGGTATTTTTTTTTCAAATGCTGAATGAGGAGTCTGATGTGGTGACCCTAGTCTGTGAGCCCAGCACAGAAACAGATAGGAAGAGCGTGGATTCCAGGTAGCCTCGACTCCATAGTGAGTAGACATACAGACTAGTTTGGGCTGCACACATTAAGACCTTGTTTTAAAGAATAAAATTTGAATGTGAGTTTATATTTACAAAGGGATGATTTTCAAGTTTCAAAGAGACTAGTGAGTGTTAACTGTGATAATAAGCATTTTGGCACTTACTGTGTATAATGGGTATTACTAGGGTGATGGTGATGAGGAATTCACTAGAATATGAGTGGGAGATAGATCTTTATATAAAGCTGTGATTTTGTACAGAAAATGGTTACCAGCACTAAGAAAGGGCTGATATTATTCTGCTCCCTACCGTAGTCCCAGAACCTCAGGCAATGTAGCCTGTATACTGGAGGCTCTAATATAGGGAGGGCTCCCATGCACCAAGGTCATTGAGTCTTGTTTTTAAGCCTTCTAGTTTGAAGATTCACCCAGAACAGACAAACCTTCAGCAGTATGTGCCTGTGGGTTTTATACAAATTCATCCCATAGACTATTGGTGTGTCCTTATCATTAGCTGTTTGATAGGGGAGCAAAATGCAGTTGACTTGAGCTTTGAACCTTGGTTCTATGTTCTTATTTCAGCTCACGCCTTCTTAATTGGTGGACTAGCTAACTGATCTCTGTAAATTTGTTTTCTTGTCTCTATAATGGGGGAAATCATGGTGCTATCTTTGGAGAGTTCTGAGTATCAGCTGTGTTGTTGTATATAGTGACCTGGGACTTGGTGTACACTTAATCCATTGGATCTTGCACTGTCCACAGAAGAGAGATGCGAATACCATTTAAAGTTCTCTGTCTTTACAAACCTCTCTGGTTGCTGTCTGTTCTCGCAACAAATAAAGCTTGCAAAGGGGTGCAGCAAAGACTGATTTAGTGCCAGAAGCTAGGCTCCAGGGAGATGGCTGGGTTAGATGGTCTAGAAAAGGGATTGTTTTGAAAGTTTCCTGTGGTGGCTCCTGATGAGGATAATAATTTTGAGGGAAGTTTTGAAGGAAAGCAGTAAGGTGCTGCTATGACATAGTTTGGGCATTTCTTTAAACACACCCCAAAGCTAACAGAGTTAGCATCACTCCCTAAAAACAAGATACTTGGTCTTTATTTTATTGATGTCTTATCATTTTTAACTTCAAAGCTCAAAACCTATTCTTTTTCTCAGTGATTTGAGATGAATCTTATTATTTGAGGCAGCCACATATTTGAAACCAAAATGAATCAATTATGCAATAGACTAGTTTGTCAAAAAACATTTCATGGATATAAAGCTGTTGAGTTCCATGTGTTTTAGATCTCTTAAACTAAATTCCTGAGAGAATCTCAATATATTCTGTATACAGATGTCTTGTTGAAGGATTTGTGTCTTAAACAAGTAGATTGAATTGTTCAAAGAGTTGAGTAAAGCTAGTGGTGATTGGGTACAAATCCTAAAACCACTCATGGATCGGAACAAATCATGTCTATACCTGTCTCATTTGTGTAGTTCAGATTTAGACACTTCTTTCCTTTCCTTGAGTGTTCTCCTTAATTTAGTTTTAAGTAAGATATATTAATTTTGGAGCCATTTGGAATCTTTAATGCTGATATACACAATATATCAGCATTATGTTACTCAGACATAAATGTTGGTAAACTTTATGTATTTGGAAAGACATGGTTAGATTTTATTATAATATCTTAGGTTTATAATTGTAAATAAATATTTTAAATTTGAGATGTGTTTTTGAAATAATGAATTTTATCCCTGGATTTTGTTTAGGCAGAATATTGGTGAAAGTATTCTTTACCTGTGGGTGGAGAAAATAAGAGATGTTCTGATACAGAAGGCCCAGACGGCAGAGCCAGGTGAGACTACGAGTGATACTTTGTCTGCTTCTAATTTGGAGTAGTGAAATTTTCAGATGAATGTTAGGATTGAAATTACACCTGAAAATCTATAAATCTATATTCTGGTTTGTGGTTTCTTTGTCTTCTCTCTCTCTCTCTCTCTCTCTCTCTCTCTCTCTCTCTCTGTGTGTGTGTGTGTGTGTGTGTGTATCCCTAGAATGTGCTCTGTAGACCAGGCTGGCCTCGAACTCAGGAATTTGCCTGTCTCTGCCCCTTGTGTGCTGTGATTAAAGGCAAGTGACACTATGTCCTGCAAAGTTTATGGATTCTCTATCACAAGAAGTTCCTCTTGAGAGTTCACTTACTCATGTAGTTATAGCAGCTTCTTCTCTAAAGTGTCTCTTTGGATTATACTTTTAGAATGTAGAATTTTGTGGGGAAAGAACTTGAATCTAAAGTACATTCTTCTTGAATCATTAAGGTATTATGATCTTAGTAGAATTCCTCAAGATTTGGACATATAAATTAGATATTAGTCTTAAACAAATCTAGTATTCATCAAAAAATAACTCTGAGAAGTATTTTGACTAATATTAGGATATAGAATTTAATTTTAAAGTAGGCTTTCAAGTGAGATATAATTCACACACCATGATTATTCACCGTTCTGAGTAAAGGAGTAACCTTTACCTAGAATGTGAAACCATCCTGCATTGTCAGCCTTTTATTGAGCTGCTGGGTAGGTGACAGCGTGGGCTTCCTTCCCCTTCACTCTGCTGTGCTGTCAGGCACCACCATGGCCTTTGGAGAGAAAGAACTCCATTTACCCTGGTATTTCTTCTAAATCACTTTCTATTGTCACCCCCGATAAAGTTGTTTTCAGTGTTGGGGGAAGAATTATGAAAGAGCCCTGTGGCGTATTTAGAATTTTAAAATGAGGGTTGTTGGCAGAGAACCAATTGTGTTGTATATTAAAGTTGATAGCAGTGTATGTGTTTCCAGATGACTTTTTTTTTTGCCATTTTTCTATAGAAGCAAATATTTTTACTGCTTTGTTAAAAATCAGAGAGGAGTGGAGAGAGTGGCATAAAGACACTGATCTCTGTAACATTGTTGAAGTGTTTTCTTTGACTTTGGATCCATGTTTTGATCTCACAGCACTCAGAGCATGAATGACAAAGAGTAAGTCTCTAACAGTCGTCAAACCCGCGATTTCGCCAGTTTGTCTTGGAGAGTTAGGCTTGCTGGAGAGTGGAGCATGTCACCAGTTCAGAATCCTGAGCTCCAGCAAACTACACCCCTGCAGCAGTGGCATGCCCTCCGTAGCTCTTCAGATTCTGAAGCTTTTTAATGTTGGAAAGTACTTTAAAACTTTATTTTAAAGTTCCATTTGAGTCCTTTTCTTTAAAATGTTTTTGGACTGGGAATGTAGCTTAGTGGTCGAATATATACCTAGCAAATCCTGTGCCCATTTTTTTTCTATTCTAATTTTTTGTAAAAGTAAAAAAACAGCAAACATAAAACCGTGTTAAAGAACTATATTAGGGTAAGAGTTAGTGACCTGGGCCTAGCTTGTCAAGTAGTTAGTCATTTTATTTCAGTATAATTTTGTTTTTTTCTACAATAAAATCTTTAATTTTTTTTTTTTTTTGATTTTTTCGGGACAGGGTTTCTCCGTAGCTTTTGGTTCCTGTCCTGGACCTAGCTCTTGTAGACCAGGCTGGCCTCGAACTCACAGAGATCCACCTACCTCTGCTTCCTGAGTGCTAGGATTAAAGGCGTGTGCCACCACCCCCTGGACTTTCTAAACAAATGTCTGAGCATATGTCCATATGTGTGTATGTGTGTGTGTGTGCGCACATGTGTGCACAGGTGCATGTTTGTGCACACATGGAGCCAGAGGACAGTGTTGGATGTTATCTGCAGAAATGGCATTCTGCCTCCTGAAATAGACTCTCATTGGCTTGGAGCACCCCAATTGGGTTAGGCTGGCTACTCAGTGAGCCTCACGCGTCTTCCTGCTTCTGCCTCTGATCAGTGGGAAGGACTCTAGGGATAGAATTCAGGTCCTCTTGCTTGTGTGGTAAGCATTTTAATGACTGAGTCCCTCTCCAGTCCCTTTTGTTAACTTATATAGCCTTGACACTTTTGAATTTTCTGACCACTTATTTTATGGAATGCTGATGGTTTGGTCTTGACAGCTTGTGACTGCAGTGAGCTGTTTCTGGTGAGAGCACCTAGAAACAATACTGTATCTTTTACATGCAGCACAGTGAGAAGTTTCTGACTTCAGTTTGCTTATTAAGTGCTTTACAGCACATGACACCACACCAGGAAGTTCATGAGATCAGTTTGTCTCCCGACTACTAATGTTTACCTCGATCCTTTGCTTAAAGTGGTATCCACCAATTGTCGCCACCATAAAGTTAGTATGTTGGGCTTCTCCAGAAAACCAAACCCCATACTGTATGCAGATAGAGCTTTATTTTGAGGGATTGGCTTGCACAGGTATGAGGATGGCAAGTTTGGAATTAGCGAGGAGCAGCACAGTGTAATTTAATGTTGCAATTTATGTCCAAAGGTAGTCTGCTGGGAGAGTATCCTCCTATGGAGGTGAGCCTTTTCCCTTAGCATGGATGAGGCTCCATTGTGATGGGGGACAGAGCTGCTGAGAGAGTATCCTTCTATGGAGGTCAGCCTTTTCCCTTAGCGAGGATGAGGCTCCATTGTGATGGGGGACAGAGCTGGTGGCTGTAAATGTCGATCCCATCCAGAACATGACCTCATAGAAACATCAGTAATAGTGTTTGTTCAAAGATATCCACATTAGGGCCTCACTAAGTTAACATGTAAAATTAATCATGGTAGTTAATGTCTTTCCTTTTGTGTGGGGAGAGGTGGGTTTATTCATTTAATTTACTTATTTATTTATTGGTGGGAAAAATAGGACTTTGCTATGTTGCCCAGTACCCAGGTTGGCCTCAAATTCCCAAGCTCACATAATATTCTTGCTTCCTTCTTTTAAGACTATAGTTTTGGTGGAATGTTCCCTAAGGCCCCGCTGAGGCACTTCCTTTTCTTCTTTCTGTACTGGGGATTGAAGCAGGGATGTGCCATGCAGGGAGTACCCTGCCCCTGAGCTACTCTCCTTCCCTTCCTGTTCTTTCTTGAAAACACTCTTACCCGCAGTCTTAGTGCCCATCAGTAGTCTTACAAAAATCACTCTGATTTTTGTCTCATGGCTAAAAAAACCCTCATATCCTTCATTTATTTATTTCTTAGAATTCTGTTGTAAGGAAAATCATGTTTTCTTCTGTTGAAGAATGGTGTATAGAGGTCAGGATCCAATTTTTGCTTCTTTTCTTTTTTTAAACAGGTCTCACTATATAGCCCTGGATGACCTGGAACTTCTTATGTAGACCAGGCTGGCCTGGATCTAACCAAGATCCGCCTGCCTCTGTCTGACTTTCAAGTGCTAGGATTTCAATGATTTTGGTAGGTGTAATTTCTTTTTAGTTTCATGGATCAATCATAATGTCTCATATTCACGTAGGCCCAGATGTAAAGAAAAAAACTGAAGAGAAAAATGTTCGATGTGAAAATAACCTCATTGTACAGTATCAGCGAGAAAATGCAGTTCAAACATTAAACTTGAACATCAGTGAACATGTACCAGGTACGGTGTTTCTAACTAGTTCCTATGGAGGAGATCTTTCTAGAGAGACCTAGAAATGGGAAAGGTTAATATGTGAGGGAGTGCTTGCTTGCTTTCTCGTAGATGTTGAAATGTGTTCCTTTCCTTTTGGTTAGCAGCAGCCAAGACAGTTGGGGTCTTTACCATAGTTCATTTATAGTGATTCTTAAAGTTGTTGAAAAGGTAGAACAGCTGAAAATCATTGCACTTTTGTGGGATACTGTCTGGATATAGTATTATTGTGTTAAATTCCATTATGTGACATAGGAGCAGTTCTATTAGAAAACATTATATTAGAGCCACACAATATAAAGCCAGTCAGAGATTTCCCAGTCCAGAGGTTGGCCTACATGGAGAAACAAGTTGTGGTGTAAGCATTTGTCAATCTTTGGTCTGAGGAGCCCTCTATTCTCTTAGAAACTAGATGCTGTCTCAATTTGAACTAATACAGCAGTCCAGTATTTGAGTGCTGGATTTGTAGCAATGACAGTGAAAATCATTTATTTTTCTCTTAGATACAATACATTTATGAACATTTTACTAAAAGTTTAATTTTGGTAGGTGATTATTCATGCTGCTTTTGTTTAACTTTTCCATATAATATTTTTTACATCCCAGTTCTTTTCCTTTATAGCTGATTTTTTAAAAGGTAAATTAATTCTTTGACTTTATAGAAATAGAAGAATTGCCTCCAGTTGATCATGGCGTTCCTATTACAGACCGAAGGAGCACTTTTCAGGCACATGTGGCCCCCGTAGTCTGTCCTCAGCAGGTGCGTGATTGTCCTACCCGCCTTGACCCTCTTCCACCAGTGTGGTCCTGGGATGGTTTTGCATCGACACCTTTCTTCTCACTCTTACGACTTCATGTGAGAAAAGTATCATTTATTTGTTTTCCCACTCCCAAATTTCTGTGACCATGAGAGATTTGCTTGTTTTTGCTTTTAAAATTGTATTTAAATTTTGATTTTTTGCTGAGGATTAAACTAGGTCATTTCTATTCAAGATAAGCATTCTACCACTGAGCACCAATGTTAGAGCTGTATTTAAATTCTGATTAGATCTTATTCTTTATGAAAATCTTTTCTTAATCTTTAAGAAAAACTTGTGTTACTATAGAAATTCATGATGCTTACTAGCTGGTCAAAAAGAATTATTTGTTCTACTGAATATGTGAAGCTAAGTCTTTTTTTACTGTTGCCTGATGAGGGAGAGCATTTGGGCCCATATGCCAAGTCCAGTCTTCCACATGTCGTTTCTTGGTGTTAGTCGACCTTATTCCTACCAAAGGATGTAAATGACAACTCATTCTTCAAAACCTCTGTTTGTAGGTCCTTATCTCTCTTCTTCTTTTCAGCAGGGCCTGTCTTTATGATCTAGCAGAAATTTAACTGTTCTGATGGGCAAGGCAGTTCCAATTTTACATAAACCGCAAACATCAGGAAAAGTTACAGTCCATTGCTCACCCTCCAGGGGTAGCTCCTTCCTTTGGACTCTGTTTCTACTCTGACCTCCACCCCTTTTCTTTTCTTTGCAGTGCTGGGAATCAGACCCAGAACCTCACATCTCTCTGCCAGTGCCCTATTGCCCCAGCCCTCTAAGCACCTCTGAAGCATTGACTCTTAGGAATAGAGTTCTTTTTACAAGGACTTTACTCTCAGTGTCTGGGAGGGGACATTTCTTCTGCCTAGATGTGTGCTCAGGAGGACTGCTTTTCCACTCAGCTGACTGATCTTCTCTTGTCCTTGGCTTTGCTCATATCCCTCAGGTTCCTTCTCACACACTCTAATGAATTTGCCATCCTGGACCCTCTTCTCAGTCACAGACCTTTAGACTGTGAACTGAGATTGTCTTTAAGACAATTGCCTACCCTACTGTATTGATCCCGAGCCTGCGACTTGAAAGTGGTAACTGATGACAAATGCATAGTATATGTTAGACTTGGCCTCTCTGAGTTCATCTCAAGTGGTTTTCAGTATTTCTCATGAGTTTGTGACAATCTGACTGCCTCTCACTCTCTTTTCCAGCCAGCCTCCTTTTCACAGAATCTTTGCTGATTTCCATTGCAAGGGAAAAATCTAAACTCTAGCCATTTGTTTAATTCCTAATGTACCATCAATGGTGCTTCTCGCCTCTTCTTCAGATTCTTAAGGAGCTGCATGCAGCATTTCCTCAGCCTCTCTTCTTACTCCTTACAGGGTTGACAGGAAATTCAGATACCAGTTAATGCTGAGTCTTGGATAGACATTCATAACACATACTCACTCATATTCAATAATTTTACATTTACGTGGAAATATATCTCTTGTTGATTGGAAATTTTTGTTTTGATTTTGCATTTTTTAAATTGTATTTAGTTATTTATTCAATCCTCCTATTCCTTGCATTTGTCCTCTGAGTGAATTTCTTCCTTATGCTCCTTCTTCTCCCTTGCATTTTGATGCAGAAGGACTGTCACTTCCAAGGGCTGGCTCAGGACTCCTCTGTGAAGCATGCTTGATTCCTAGACAAAGTTCTGATTTTTATCACATTGGGAGCATGCTGTACTGTACACCTATCATAAGAGTGGGCACACTGAGGAAATTTCAGAGCTAGCTTCTGGAAATGCTTACGTTTACATGAAAAGTTCTCTACCTGAGGAACACATTTTCATATATTGTGCCTTAGACATACAGACTAAAACATCTGTTGGTTATTAGTGCTCAGGAAGTGTCTGCCCTATTAGATCACTTCAGAACTCAGTGGACCCTTTAAGGAACTGTTGTGGTACGGTTTATATGAAATCACTTTAATTCTAATTTTCTAGCATTTAGAGAGCAAATAAAAGTCATATTTGTTTATATCACTGTTTTTAAAGGTGAAAATGGTTCTTGCCAAGTTGTATGAAAATAAGAAAATAGCCAGTGCCACCCACAATATCTATGCCTATAGGTAAGTGATTGTCAGTTTTTAGACTATGTAATTCATAAACAGTGCTTGGGAAATTATGCATGATTTTGAAATATAACTGTTTTTTTATTATACTAGTAGACCTGTGAAATATTTACACACTGCAGGAAGAGAGACAGAAGGAGGGCACGGCTTCTGCTAACTGCCTTTGCTAGTGTTTGGTGTGTGTTGTCTTTTCTGTAAGATGCTAACTCTTTTCAGTACTATAACTTGTGTCCTCTATTTTTAATTTGATAAAAATATTTTCTATATTTACTTGATTAAAAGTTGTTCCAATGTCTTTGGGTTCTACACCTCAATTTATTTTTTTATTTTTATTTTTTTAATATTTATTGATTATGTATACAATGTTCTGTCTGTGTGTATGCCTGCAGGCCAGAAGAGGCACCAGACCTCATTACAGATGGTTGTGAGCCACCATGTGGTTGCTGGGAATTGAACTCAGGACCTTTGGAAGAGCAGGCAATGTTCTTAACCACTGAGCCATCTCTCCAGCCCCTACACCTCAATTTATTTTGCTGTTTCTTTTTCATTGTACTTTATCTGATTTCCACTATTGTGAAGCAAATCTGGCCGACATGTTTTGAACATGAATTGGATTATTTCTGCAGAGTAGCTTTATCACTTCTCCTTGTGTGCACATGTGTGGAGAGACATGCTTTTCTGAGTGGAGGCCAGAGATCACTGCCGGGAGAGACAAGGCTTCCAGATAAGCCTGGAGCTCACTAGTTTGGCTAGACTAACTGGCCAGTACATCCTCATCCCCCCTGGTCTTTGTTCCCTCAGTGCAGGGCTACGGGGACACATTGCTACCCCAGACATTTCCATGGGTGCTGGGGTTGCAGACTTAGGGCCTCATGCTTGTCCTGAGCTGGTAAGGTGCTTACCTTCCAGCTCCTCACCTTTTTAAAAAATGGAGTGCAGATATAATTAAAAGGAAGAAAATGATTTTTTAGTAGAATTATTAAAAAGTATGAATACTTCTGAAACTTGATATATATTTCAAATTTTCCCAAAGGTTATTTTAAATCCATTTATACTCCTATAAATAACGAGTTGAGAGCTTTTGGGGTTTGAGTGCACGTGTAGCTGATTTGCGAAGACATAAAGAACATTAAAAACATACCAAATAGTAAGAGTTAAGATGTAGCTTAGCCCTAAAGTAAAGCAGAATATAGATAGATGGAGTTGGTATAAATTTAAAATTCAGTTGAATGTTTATAAAGTCTAGGTTAGCCAGACTTTAAATTCAAAAGATTCAGTTTGCGTAAGAGAGTTTTTCCTATTAGTTGCTTCACATCTTAAAAAAAAAAAAAGATTTACATGCATATGAATGTGTGTCCTCTAAACAGTATCTAGATAGAAATTTAATGTAGTCCTTTTTGTTTGCTTACTTGCTTGCTTATTTATTTGTTTGTTTGTTTGCTTCGGTAGGGTCTCATATAGCCCAGGCTGACCTCCAACTTGCTTTATTGGGTGTTAAACTGATCCCACTTTTACCTTCTAAGTGTTGGGGTCACAGTCACTTACTGCTATGTCCAGCAATATATTAAAACTTGATAGCTGGATGAAATGAGAGGAAGAAAATAAAACATTCACGTACGCTGGCCTTCATCTCCATTTTTTCATTCTGTGTGGGCTCTTTGAAGACAGGAGTGTGCTTCCTATTTCTTGCATATCCCCTTGCAGGTCCTGTGGTATAATGCCTTGATGCAGTATATTCTCTGCAGCCAGCTCTCTGTCATGGCTCTGTATTAACTCACAGCTTTCGGGAAATTGCATGTGTAAATTCTCACAAAAGCAGTACTTTAGTAAAAAGGGGAAACCGCTGGGTCCTAGTGTCCCCGTTGTGAAGATGAGCTTATGTGCCCAGCCAGCCACAAGAATGCCTCAGACAGAATACAAGAAGGATTTTAAGATAAATATGTTAATTTCTGAGGTGGTCATATTGAGGACTAACATTTATATGACATATTTATTATACTTTGATGGTTCCAAGTATAGCCATTTCTGTATATTTTAGGATATACTGTGAGGACAAGCAGACCTTCTTACAGGACTGTGAGGATGATGGAGAAACAGCTGCTGGGGGCCGTCTTCTTCATCTCATGGAGGTCAGTATAGAGCTCAACTCTGAATATGCACTTACAAACCTTAGAGTTTTCCAACAGACCAGAGCTCCACTGAGGAAGAATGATGTGTGGTACTGGTCATAAACACTGATTGAGGAGCAGTCTTCACCACTGGATTGAGTCAGAGTGCCAACAGTTAATACCGAGTGTATTCTAGGAGAATATGCAGGATTGTCTGCATCTGTGGGAAACGGCTCCTTGTCTCCTTGCGGTGACTCCCCTGCGTCTCTTCTCTTCTGTCTCTGTGAAACTTCCCGTTAGTCGGTTACTGAAACATGGGGTAGATGAAGGATGTTTCATTGTTAAAAGTTAAATTGCTTTTCTCTTTTTATGTTCTGAGCCATTTTCTTGGCTGTCTTCCAAAGGTTTTTTTGTTTGTTTGTTTTGTTTTGTTTTTAGATTTTGTTAACAGGGTTTCTCTGTGTAGGTATGGCTGTCTTGGAACTCACTCTGTAGACCAGGCTGGCCTTGAACTTACAATGATCCACCTGCGTGCTGGGATTAAAGGTCTGCGCCACCACTGCCTGGCACAAAGTTTGTGTATTTTTAACAACCTTGCATTTAATTTTCTTAAGCAATATTTTCTTCCTTATTAAAAATAGTTTCTCCTTTCTAAAAAAATATTTTATGTATATGAATGTTTGTATGCATTATGTTTGTGTACCATGTGCATGCAGTAACTGCAGAGGTCAAAAGATGTCATTGGATCCCCTGGAACTGGAGTTTCAGATGATTGAACTGTTATGTGGGTGCTGGGAATTGAACCTGTGTCCTTGCAAGAACAGCAAGTGCTCTTAATGACTGACCCATCTCTCCAGCTCCTGTATTAACTTTTTTCCTGTTTTTCATAGGATTCTTATTCAGTTTTTACAGAGAAAGTAGCTTTTAAATTTTGTCTGTATGCATTCATCTGAGTTCCCTTATTGAACTGTTTTAGCCCTAAGTTTTTCCAGGTCCATTTTAGTTTGTGTATCTCATCATTTCTCTTTCATCCTGCTGTTTTCCTTCATACATCTGGTGATCGCAGATTGTGCATTAGCTTGAAGAGTGGATTATTTTTTGCCTCAGTAGTCACTGTGGTCTCTTTTATTCCTGTATGTGGAGTTTGTTTTCTAATAAGGCCTTTCTCTTAAGTAGGAGCTTTGTCTTGTATCAGATGTGAACATTGGTGGCTTCATTTCAAAGGCCACACTTGTCACGTGTCACGGGTCCTCTTCTATTTGGTAGTTGGTTCAGGTTTTTGTTTGTTTTTGCTTATGTTTCTGGTAAAAACAAAACAAAAACAAACCATAGCTTTCTCTGACTGATGGTTCTAAAGTTAACAGTTTGAGATTATAGAACACTGTATTGCCCTACCAAATTTCCTTTGTCCTAACTTTTCCTCCCTGAGTTGTTAGAAACTACTAAGTGCATGCTGTTTTATATATCAGGTATTTCATTCTTTTCTTTGTTTGTTTTTTGTTTTTTTCGAAACAAGGTTTCTCTGTGTAACAGTCCTGTATGTCCTGGAACTCACTTTATAATCAGGCTCGCCTCAGAGTCATTGAGCTCCGCCTGGCCTGCCTCTGCCTCCCATGTTCTGGGATTAAAGGCGTGCACCACCACCTGGTGGTTATTTCGTTCTTTCAACTCACATTTGTACATATCTATTTATGTGTTATTATGCTTCTGACAATAACAGATTTTGAATGTAAAGAATGTCATGGTGGTGGTATCCCGTTGGTATGGAGGAATTCTGCTAGGACCTGATCGTTTCAAACACATCAACAACTGTGCCAGGAATATACTGGTAGAGAAGAACTTCACAAGTTCAGCTGTAAGTAGCTGTCAGTGCTGTGGCTAGAGCTTGCTATCAGTGTGAACGACAAAAGGGAAATTAAGGATGGGTGAAAATATTAACATTGTATTGGTAAAGCTATTGAACTAGGAAGCTGAAGACCTAGACTTTAGTCAGAATATGGGAGAATCTAATTTTATCTGTCTGGTCTGTAGAGTTTGGAGTAGAAAAAGCTGAAAGCTCTTTAAATACTATCTGAGGTCCAGAGAGCTGTGAGCTCTCACACTGAGAGTCGATGTGAAGTCCCCAAATCCTGTGTTGGTTTCAGAGTACGTGCTTCCCTGACATGTCTGTAGATGTGTTCTTTATATGTTGAGTTTGTTTTGCTTATACTTTACATATGTTCATAAATATTTAGACTTGGAAGAATGGCGATAGATGGAAATATTATAGTAGACTATAAGCCAAAGTGTCTTCAGGCACAATGCTGATGCCTTTAAAAGTACTTATGATTTTCCATTTAGACCAGCTATGTGGTTGCTGTGAGGGCCTGTCCATACATGGTGCTGCATTGACTGCTTTCTTTTTCAGGAGGAGTCCTCTAAGAGTTTGGGAAAGAAGAAAGTAAAGAAAGACAAGAAGAGGAGTGAGCATTAATACTTGAAACTGTATAAAATGTTAGTTTTCGAGTCATATGTACACATTCCACAGTGGTTAATGAACACGCAAAGCTGACACACATGATAGCTCGAGTCAGCCACCATCATGGACACCAGCATACTACGTTTCCTTCTTTGGTTCTATCATTTGCCGGAAATAGAGAATTTAGGATCTATTCCCATGTGTGTCAGGCTTGTGCAGAAGAACTGACACAAGCTTAATTACCACTTCCTATAACTCGGAGGTGTACCTGAGCTGACTGTCCACTTCAGTGTCAGGTGCCTTCGTTTGGTGGGGAGACGTGTCTTCAGATGACCATTAATGCCTGGTTTCTTGTGGTAGAAATCGCCATACTGTTGCGTAAACATGCTTTAGTGCTCCCTGTAGCTTATTAGAGTGGGAGCTCCTTGATGACTGACATCTTGGAGAGTCTTTTCCTTGTGATTTCACAAGCTTGTCATGTTTCATTTTGTAGTGTTTATCATGGAGTAATAGATTAAGTAAAAATCCAGAAGTATTCATTTGTGATTATGTGCCAAGTGTTTATCATGAGTGACAGATGAAGTGACATCCAGAAGTATTCACCTGTGATTATGTGCCAAGTGTTATTCCTCAGTATTGTTGCAAATTGGTCGCAACAGTTTGTAAAATTTTAAATAGTGATTTTTTTTTTAGTTTCTGCCTTTTGTTATAATTCCTGTAGTGGAACATAGTGAGCCAAGTCTCTGGGGCTCTTCCATTCTGCAAGTGTGTTGATGAAATATTACAGTGTTGCTGGACAACCTGGAAGCGCCTTCTGTGTGCTCTTCCCTGTGCTGTGCCCGACTTAGGGACGCTGAGAGAATAAGGTAGAGATGGCGGAATGCCACTGATGTGGGCTGAGAACTGGACTAGTTTGATGCACACTTGCTCGACTCTTTTAGTTCTGTGGTTTTTGCTGAGAGGTGGAGGGACAGATCTTTTCATTAGAAAAAGAAGTTTTTGTCTACAAATTCTTGGCAAATCTCCCTTTTGAAAAGTGTTTTATTTCTTTAATTTTTTTTCACTTGCATGTTACTTGTAAGGAAAAAGACTGGGAGTTTTCCTTTGAGATGTAGGTAAGTTGTGCGCTGTTATATTTCAGGCAGGATGCCAACAATTACTAAGTTGATCAAGTGATTACAGGCTGTTTGACTTCACTCCCAAGGACGGGATAAGAAGTTAGGAAGCAGCTTTGGGATGTTACTGGAACGTGGAGCACTTCAGGTTGGGCAGATGTTTTTCTTTACCCTTCAACCTTGAAAGATCCACACCCTCACTTGGTATTTTAAATAGGAATCCAGGACCCAGCTCTACACTAGAGTGGGTTCTGAGACAGAAGTCTTATTTTCAACATTATTTAATGTTGTAAGTTATCGAGAATTATAGGATGACCTATATGTGTGTATTTGGAGCACTTAACCTCTGTTTCCATGAAATGCTGAGTATATCCTATGTATTAACTTACGGAAGTTAAACATTATTTGCTAAAGATAATTTCACAGTCTTGACATTTCAGACATGTGAAAAGCGGTAAAAGCACTAAGATTTATGCAGCAGGCGGAAGGAGTAATTTTTCCAGCATTCTGGTTTTAAGTTTATTCCCTGGTGTTTTGTCTAAAATGTATTAGTGTTTACAGAAGACAAAACATTTTTTATATCTCTGACCTCATTTTCCTTCACTTAAAAAATGTTGTTTTCTTAATTTTATAAGATTACTAACTGTTTTGTGGGTTGGGCTCCTTAGCCTTCTTCTCTTCAGATGGGAGGAGATATCCCAAATTCCCAAATTCCTCAGTTCTAATACCAGAAAATACATAGTTAACACTTACCATCAATACAAAATAATGATAACATATTTTTCTCTATTAAAATAGAGAAAAATCATTTGTAGAGAATTTTCTAGTTTTCCAAATAATACCTTTCTGTAGCCAGGCATCTGCTGTGGTGTTCTCTGTATTATTTTAGTTAACATGGTCTTCCCGTTATATAGGCAGCATCTACTTTGATGGGCATAGATAGCATTAGCTGCATAAGGAGGTGTCTGTGTGCCTCGATACAGGCTGCTGGGAGGAAATTAGTTAAAACCAATCACAGAACAGATGAAGCAGATACTGTGTGCAGGGCAGGTTCAGTGTATTGGGAAAGCTTTAACCACATCCAGTTCACTAAAGAGATAACCATAAATGGTGTATTCAGTTCTTATTTTTTTCTTATGCATGATTTTGTATATATGGTTATTTTTCTTTCCATAAAAATGGTATTAAAGTATATATACTGTTTTTTATCCTGTACATTTCATATCGAAGTATATTGTTAACATTTTCCCATATCAATAAATATTCTTCTATGGCTTAACTCTTTATGATTGCATTGTATTCTGTCTTCGGGTACTTTGTAATATACAAACTCATCCCCCAGTTGTTTTCAGCAAGTTTTTTCTTCTTCAGATTTTAGCTCTTAGAAGCAAATGTGAAGTATTGTTTCAATGCATGAAACATGGGATTCTTCATGACGGACTTATATATTCTCACAGTACTTTGTAGAGTAGCCCCGTCCTTATCCTCATCACTATTAGAAAATGCTTAGAGTATCAGTTAAAAAAAAGTGGGAAAATAAACGGTGTGGTTAATAAAATTCCCAGTGTCCATAAAAAAAGTGCCATTATAGAAGCCCTTTGTACCATAACTCAGTCTTGCCTAGTAACAGCATCATATAAAGTCCTGAGTTTCTTTTCCAGACTAGGGAGATGCATTCTAGACACAGCTCCTTTGTTAGATACATGTTTCCAGTTTCCTTGAATATAGAACTGCCTTCCTCCTCTTAGCAGTGCCTGTCAGCAGAGACCTGAATCATCTCCATCCCACTTTTTTGGCAATGCTGGGCATAGAACCCAGGGCTTTGTAAGTGTTAGGCAAGCCCTGGACCACCTCTTTTCGCACATCTTTTTTTTGGGGGGGGGGGGGGTAGGGGTGTCATATCTAAAAACTACTTAACCTCAAGGCCATACTTTCTTTAAGAAGGTTTTTATTTGTGTATGTGTATGCTAGAAGTCCGTGTTTGAGACAATGTGAACTCATCAGTTGTGCTTGCTTCCTGGTCAGTGAACTCCTCTTTCTGACCTCCCACCCCTAACACTAATGTTTTCCCTGGTGCTGGAGATCTGGACTCAGTCTTCATGCTTGTGTGGCAAGGACTTTACTGACCAAGCTGTATCCCCAGTCGCTAAAGAGTTTCTTACGTTCTCTTTCCAAATTACAGCCTCATGGTTTGATCCTCATTCCTAGTTGTTGTAGAAGATAGGAAATCAAAGCTCTTTTTTCCCTTTCTTGATGCATTTTGTTGGTGAATTTTCACCTAGTGAACACTGTTATGTAGCCAGCACTTGGATGGAACTAAAGGGACTTGTGCTTCCCATACCCTGGCTCTTCCTATGAGTAACCACTTCTCTTTTTCTTACACTGGAGAGGAGTTTGGGCTGCTTTGAGCTAGATATTCATGGAATGGCCCAGAGCCTCTCAGTTTTGACTCTTCATTTCAGTGTCAGATCAGGAGACTCATCTAGGTAATTTTGTGTAGCAGTGTTTCTTCTCACTGCATACTATTCTATTGAAAGAGCATGGCGGTTTATTCTGTTTATAAATATTTGAGTTTCCAGGTTGAAGCTATCATAGTTAGTGCTGCTAGGAACATTGCTTACCTGTGGCTTTTAGTGAATGTATGTAGACAGTTCCAAAACATTTTAATTACACTTTTACTTCTGTGTGTGTTCTTGCGCTTGTGTGTGTATGTGTTTGTGTGCACGCACATGTATAGAGGTCAGAAGTTGACGCCTTCTTTTGACGTTGTGGGTCCTGGGGATTGAACTCAAGTCATCAGACTTAACAGCAGGTGCTTGTATCCACTAGTTATCTCCCCAGCCTCTTATGTAGGCATTTCTCCTGGACATTTGCTAGGCATGGATTTGCTAGGCATAGGACATGTCCATGTAGAGCTCTGACATACAGTGCCCAGTGCTATGCCGGCTCTTAGGTCACTGCTGTTTCGGGATGTCTGTCCATTGTTCTCATTTTGTTCCAATTTTATACTATTAGTGAGATGTCAACTGATGCCCCAGATTCTAAAAATATAAGCCAGCTCTAGCATGGTGATTTAGATAGAAAGCAGTTTTCTAATTCCAGTGATTTCTGCTCCTGCCAGTGGTGCATAAATTTTAGTTACCGCACATCTTTGTGTGGTATAACTTCATTTTTATTGCATGGTGTGATGACACCACTTTCTGGTTTTAGTTTGTATTTCCATGCTGACAAAGCTGAATACCTTTTGTGACCACATTTTGTAACTGAAGAGACTGAGTCATCTTGAAATGATTTAATTAGGAGAGGATGATGAGGACTTGTTTCCAAGGTTGAATCAGATATGGAGAAAAAAGGTTACAGTTTGCATCTCCAGGGAGGTAATCTATAAATCTCCATGGCATAGTGTAATAAATCTGAGTTATCTAAGTACCATTTTATAATTTATAAAAATATGGGATATAATTCTTTGTCTAAATTATTATGAAAGTTAAATAAGCTGTGTTTAGTGATGCTTTGAATATGAAAAAAATCCACTAAATCTGATCTTTTATTTGATGTAGGCTGTTTCTGAGGATTCTAAGAGTACCTAGAGTCCTAATTAGATGTTAAGTTTCCATGATCTTCTGTTTTCTGGGAAGGCATTCTAGCACAATGAACACAAAGTAGACCCTGTCATCTATTTTTTTTTTAATTTTATTTGCATGCTAACCACAGTTTCCCCTTCTTCCTCTTCTCCAAGTTTCCCTCCTCCTCTCTGCTCCCCCTATCCATCCTTGTTGGTGTAGGCTGCTCGTTCATTCCTGGCTGCCCAGAACCAAAATAACCACACAGAAACTATATTATTACAACACTACTTGGCATATTAGCTCATGTTTCTTATTAGTTAGCTCTTATATCTTAAATTAACACATTCCTGTTATTTTATAGTTTACCATGAGGCTTGTGATTTACCAGCAAGGTTCCAGAGCATTTGTCTCCTGCGGTGGCTACATGGTATCTTACTGACTCCTCCTTTTTTCTCCCAGCATTCAGTTTAGTTTTCCCTCCTAGTTAGGAATCTTAGCTAGGGTCACCCTCATAGAGTCTTGAGAATTTCCATTGTACTAGGTTTCTAGCTTGCTCCAGGAATGCCTCCCACCCCACCCCCAGATTCCATTTTTCTCGTTCAGTACTCTCTCCCTCTATTTCCTGATCTCTCCTGTTCCCACCCTCACCCCCCATCTAGGTCCCTTTTCCCATCCACCCTCAATATCTATTCTCTTTCCCCTTTACAGTGAGATTCGTGAGTCTCCCCTTGAGCCCTCCTTGTTACTTATCTTTATTTATCCTTTACAGATAATATCCACTTATGAGTGAGTACATGCCATGTTTGTCTTTCTGGATCTGGGTTACCTCACTCAGGATGATCTTTCTA